ACAAGGAAAAAAAAAAGCTACATAAACTCTTATGAAAGTGAAACTGTGTGGGTGACATCTTGCAAGAACGATTTGTTCTTGTCAAAATGTTTTTATTTTATGAAACATTTTCTAGAAAGGAGGGAAGAAAGAAAGAAAAAGGACAGAAAGAAGGAAAGAAAAGAAAAGAAAAAAGAAAGAAAGTTTTACCATGAGGAAAGCTCCCTCTCCTGTTGGGGTAGCACAGGAGAAGTAGCAAATCTGGCCATCAGAGAACAAAGGTCCAAAGAACGAACCTGAGATGGTGAAATAAAATGTAACATCAACAAAGAAAAGGCCATAGATAAATAGTAAAAGAACCAACTTGCCACAAAAAACCCATTGACATTTTCCCAGAGTGCAGGCAAAGAGCTGGTGACAGGTTAATGTTGGAATGTTTTCCTAGGGTTAAAAGGAGAACAAGCAGCAAGTCTGCTCAGAATTTACAAAGTGTTTGAATAACATGGACAATGTTTTGATAACACATTTTTAGTGGGGGTGAAAATAATAGAATTTATTGGGACGTTTATATGGGCCCCCTTGGTTGTGTGTGGGTTGGCAGGGGGGGTGGATAGGAGCTAAACCATATATCTTTGTACTCATCTGCAATTCACCATTGTAATTTCTTCATAGTTGTATATACACATATATATTATGTATAATATTGCCATGATGCCCAAGTCTTCTTAATTTTAATTTAAAAAATAAAATCATGCATACTGGTTACCTTCAAGGAAAAGGAACAGAGAAGGAACCGTGAGTTAAGTTGTCAGAATGAACTAGTAATATGAAGTTGGTGTTGTTGCTTGGGACAGCTAAGTCGAGATCTTTATATGCATACACCCAGGCTTGGCTTTGGCTTCCTTCAGCCCCCAGAGGTTCCTGTTTGCTCCATCTTGGGCTGCAAGGTGAAGTATTTGAATTAATACAGCCACCATTGGGCTCTAGGGTCGCAAGGGGTCTCCTCCCCAATGTTGATGTTTTTGTTCAATGTATCACTGTCAGTTAAGCCACATAAAACCAGGCACCTTTCAATAAATGTCTCATTTGGATTTCATGAAGCCTGGGGTGTAATTGAAATCAAACAGCAAACAGACTGGAGGGTTCTGCTATTTGCCCACCCATTCTAAGTAAGGGGCTGCCTGATGTGTTTACTAAGGCCTTTGCTTTAGCTTTCTTTTCTGTTCAGATTTCTAGAAGAGAGTGCTTGGATTTTAAAATGTGGCTGGGACACAGGAAAACATTTTTTAAATGTCTCTTTCCTTTTTTATAATATTCCATTCCAAGTAAGAAATTACAGGCTTGCTCTCTATAACTCTCCAGCATTTTAGACTAGTATAGTCCATCTGTAGAAATAATAAAATGTAACTCATTAATTAAAACAGAAATATCAGATTTCTTTGTCTCTATGAAGTCAGATAAAAAATTATCTGTGGTTGAAATTGTGTTTTTCACCATTTCAAAGAGGAAATCACTATATGGATTGTAAGTGCAATATAATATGCAGTGTAAAAGTACGGCTCTTCCACATTCCAAAAAGTTTGGATCCCAAAATAGATTTCTGGCATCTTTATCTTGATTCTTTTAAAATTTCTCTTTACTTCTCCATCTTTAAAAAGTATTCGAAGTTGGGCATTAATTGGGGAGGTTGAGAAAACAGAAACTATAATCCTAGTTGTACAGGATTCAAATCCTAGTTGTACAGATTGAATTGTATAGATTTAATAATTTGGTGACGTTCGGAATGAACCCATGCGTTTACTTGCGCTTGCTCTACGGATGGAATAGAATGAACCTTTTTCTGCTGTGGCGCGGGGGACAGCTGGCCTGCGTTACTTGCGCCAGAGTGGGTCGCAACGATGCCTGTTGCCTGTGGTGGCACTATGCCAGGCGTAGCGTTCCCCTGGCCGCTTCGAAAGCATTTTGAAGTCCGCTTCCGGCTGTATTAAAGTGCAAAACTGACATATACCTTCAGTCACCTTCTCTGCAAATAACGTGAGATTCAGTCTCACACCTACTTTCCCCTCAAACATCCTGAAGCTCAGACCAAAGCAAAAGTGGTGAAGCCGGGGATATAGAACCCACACTCATTTAACGCCGGACTCCTTTATCGCAGGGCTTGTTTGCCAGGCGCAGCTCAGCCCTTTGCAAAGCAGAACAAGTTCACGTTGAAAGCCAAGTACTCTTTGGGGGCGGGGGGGGGGATCAAACTTCAAGACTTCCCTAGATCGAAACAAAACAAAAGATAGGGAGATGAAATGGGGAAAGAAAAGTGATCAGAGCAGGCAGCCACGCCAAAGGCGAACTGGGACAAAAAATATTAGGAGCGCAGGAACTGAGCGCACGGGTGTCAGCTTTCTGGGGAATCGCCCCGGCCCTCGTCTTAACTGCCCCCCATCACCAGTCTGTCTCTAAGGTGAAAACCTTTGCGCGCGCTCAAGATTTTCAATACCATCCCACAAAAATATTTCACTTGGTTTAATGACACGGAGCATCCAGGTGTCTTAAGGATCGGTTCAGTCTCTAACCCAAGTATGCGGACCTGCGGACTGCGCGGGTTTGAACCCGCGTAGCGAAGCTTCGCGTGGTTCTACTGCTGGCGTTTGGGCGTTCAGCAAATCCCGCGGCACCCTCATCTGTTTCGTACAAAAACTTTCCCGTGTGATCGCGTTCGGTTGGGGACGCAGAATCCCTGCATCTCAGCCGGAAAATGCGCTCTGGAGCGATTACTGGAGAAGTCCGTAATTGCTTATTAAAGGAGAATATTTAGCTTCTTATGCGCAACGAAACGTGCCTCCTTCCTTCTGTAATAATAAAACAATAAAATATGACAGCACCGTATTTGACTACGGAAAGGCAGGGGTGTGTGTGGAGTGTGGAAGGAACAGGCAGCTGGGGCAAAGAAGCTTAATTCAATATCAAACTGATTATTTCACTAATTATTCTGCCTTCTGTATTGTGCCGCAGAGGAGAGGCGTAGGGAATCTTAACCGCACAGCTGCTAGGGAACCTTTGTGTCCTGGTGTCAGTCCCCACCAAAGATGCTGGTGAATGGAGGTGGGGGGTAGCCAGCATCCCGGATCAGGACAACCGATCAGATTTTTTAAATTGTAAGTAACGAGAGTGATCGCCTCCAGAAAGCCAAAGGTTTGTTGGCGTTGGATGTGAGGGAAAGTGATTGACTCCCTAGATCTGGAATCGTTTGTTTCTCAGCACCCCACCCCAATATGGCTTTTGATTCAGAAACTCAAAGCTCTCACCATTCCTGGAATCCCAAACGCTGAGCAAGAGATTTCTCTCCGCCAACCCTTTCCATTAGGTAAAAAGATGGGACCAAACAAAAAGCGGTCCTTATGTGTTGAAACTCAGGAAGTAAGGGGGAAGGTACACCTTGATGTTACAGCTTCGGACGCGGAGACACTTTGGGTCGCTCTCCTACCCGCACTGATTTACACCCTGGGAGATGCTCGCCTTCCAGCCAGCAGTGAGCTGGCAGAGACTCTGATCCAGCCTCGGGTACCAGCTCCTGCAATACCCGCGCAGAGCGCAGGAATGACTCCTGCGTCAAGGGCAGGCCCGGATACCGAGACTCCAAACCCTGTTCTCTTAAACTCCAGGGTCATATAGACACAGGGATTGATTCCCCCAAACTAACTTTAAAAAACGCCAAATCAACAGCAACAGCAAAATAGGTTAAATAGAAAAGAAACTTGAAGACAACTCGATCCAATTAATAAATGCTTAATTGAATTAGTGTCACCTTTCATCAGCCAATAGAAAAGTCCCCTGGATGTGGGTCTGCGAAGCCCCTCCCTGGCCGCACGTATATAAAGCAGCCAGCGACAGCTCGCAAGTTTTCAAAGGGTCCAGTAGACCAATGGTTTGGCAATAGGGAGACAGCCGAAAGGCGAGGGCTAGTCGGTAAGCCGGAACAAAGATCTAAGTTTTTTTGTGGATTTTTCCCCCTTCTCTCCTTGGTATAAATGTAGGGGTCTTAAGGTAAGGCGGGCAAGGGAAGGAAAAACAGACTGCTTCTTGCTCGGCGTCCACCTTCCACTACAAACTTCGCTTGAGCAAAGAACGCTAGATTGCGGGCGCGCGCGTTAGCAGCGGGTGTCCTGGTGCGCAGGTGGGCAGCCCAGGCGTGGGAGGAAAGGGGAGTTACCTTGCCCTCGGAAGAGGGCGCTGGCTCCCCCATCCTGCCTTTATAATAAGGCCACCGGAGGAGAGGAAGCTGCCAGCAGCCTTCTGCGATTTACAAAGCATGCAGTTAGGAGAGCCGCTCCTGCTGAGCTCTGTGAACCTGCCCGGTGCGCACTTCTACTCGCTGGAGAGTGCGCGAGGAGGTGGCGGCGGAGGAGGAGGTGGAGGAGGAGGCGGCGGAGGAGGAGGTGGCGGGAACATCAACCTCCTCCCCAGCGCTGCGCCCTCGCCACAAAGGCTGGACTTAGACAAAGCACCCAAGAAGTTCCCGGGTAGTCTCCCGTGCCAAGCGGGGAACGCAGAACCCTCAGCCGGGAGTGCCGGGCCCCCGGCGGCCATGCTCAGTGACGCCGACGCCGGGGACACCTTTGCCAGCTCCTCCACAGTGGCCAAGCCGGTCCCAGACGGTCGCAAGGGCTCCCCCTGCGGGGAGGAGACGCTGCCCTCTGCCGCCGCCGCCTCGGCCACGACGGCCACCGCGCGCTACTCCATGGACAGCCTGAGCTCAGAGCGTTACTACCTTCAGTCCCCGGGACCGCAGGCCTCCGACCTAGCGGCGCCCTGCTCGCTCTTCCAGTACCAGGCTGCGACCGGGGCGCCCCACGGATCTGTATACCCCGCATCCAATGGCGCACGGTACCCCTACGGCTCCATGCTGCCCCCAGGTGGATTCCCCGCCGCCGTGTGCCCACCGGGTAGGGCGCAGTTTGGCCCCGCAGCCGGCGCCAGCGGTGGCGCGGGTGGCAGTAGTGGCGGGGCTGGAGGTCCCGGCGCCTATCCCTACGGCCAGGGCTCTCCGCTCTACGGGCCGTACCCTGGAGCAGCAGCAGCGGGATCTTGCGGAGGATTGGGGGGTCTAGGGGTTCCCGGCTCCGGCTTCCGCGCCCACGTCTACCTGTGCAACCGCCCTCTGTGGCTCAAGTTCCACCGTCACCAAACTGAGATGATCATTACCAAACAGGGCAGGTGAGAGCCTCGTGGAGGGGCCCCCAGGGTGCCGGGATCCAGGTAGAGCGAGTACTCCTGGGGAAGGCCCCGGGCTGAAGGACTTACTGACTGCTCTGCTTGGAGTGTTTTTCCGGGCACACTAATGGGGGTTGGAGGGGACACAGCATTTCCAAAGTGGCGTCCTTTTCGGTCCGCACACCTGTGGCTTGGATCGAGTGCTAAAGTTCCAGATGCTCTTTCCTCTAAGTCAACTTCATCTGGACTTACAAGGAGGAGGCCGAAGCGAAAATTATGGAAGTGGAGCCACAAAGGTGGATCCACAGGATCCATCGGCTCCTCGGGGATGGGAAGAGCACCAAAGCTGGCTGCCAAGTACTTGAGCTGCTGTTGTTTCAAACATCTTGGTCTTGGTGGGGCACTTATGTCAGATGTACAGGCCAGAGAAGTCCGGTTCCGGTGGTGGGTAGGTAGACAGGCTCTGAAACCAGATTTGGGGGGATGGGGGGCCTTGGGGAACAAGAAAGTACTGGTATACCTTCAAACTGCTGACAGTTATTTCTGGAGGAAGTGAGGGGTGGGTCCTGGGAGACAGGCACTCAAAGGGGACTTTTATCTTATGTGTGTTCTTTTGTGTGTATGCACATGTATGTGTATGCATGTGTACATACACAAAAAGTTCATACACACACAACTTAGTGCTCTGCGGTGCTTGTGCATTGAAAATAAATTTCGACATTCCAGGAAGAAAACCATTAAGTGCCTGAAAGGGCAGAGACCTTGAGTGGGTAGAGGTCTCAGAGAGGCAAGAATTAGAAATATACTGATTTGGGGGCCAGTTATTTCAGAAAAGAGGGAGATGTTCCAAGAATTGCCAATTCAAAACCATTTCTGTGGTTTGGGGCTACATTTTCTGTTTACTAAAGACTTCTACGTATCTCACTGCTGCTCTCCCAGGTGTGGGGGTAGGGGGTGGGGCGGACCGGGCCTGTGCTGGTGTAGCCTTGAGCACCCGGATTTAAATCATTTCTCCTGGTTCTGTTCCTTCGCACAGGCGCATGTTTCCTTTCTTGAGCTTCAACATAAACGGACTCAATCCCACCGCCCACTACAATGTGTTTGTAGAAGTGGTTCTGGCCGACCCTAACCACTGGCGCTTCCAGGGAGGCAAGTGGGTGACCTGCGGCAAAGCTGACAACAACATGCAGGGTGAGGAAAGGAGAGGTCTGGGGGAGCCCTTTTGTAAGAACAAGTCATATTTAAATCAAGCACCCCACCCCCAAGCTGAGGCAAAGAACTGCTAGTATGATTTTCCTTCTGTTGACTGAAAGAGAATTTCTCAGTGCTATATCTTGCTTACCATTATGTATAGAACCTTTACTGTGACCTACCCTGTTGTGTTTGAGAAATGGATAATCAAATAAGGTTCTGGGTTTGGGGAAAGACTCTTGGCATTTTAGTATTCTCTTGAGAAAGCCCTGGCCATGTTTAATTTAACCTGTAAAAGTATTCTATCGGGTATTGCCCTTCCAACTTTAGAAGGCCCCAGATTAACTTTCAAGAGTCCTGAGCTCTCATGGTGGCTTATGCCTTTAGTGGAGGCAGATGGATCTCTGTGAGATCAAGGCCAGCCTGGTCTACATAGTGACTTCCAGGGCAGCCCAGGCTGCAAGGAGACCCTGTCTCAAAAAGTCAAAAAAAAAAAAGGCATCTCCTCTTGGCTCTGTAGAGATACTAGTGTTAGGAGTGCCTTGTTTGCGGAAGGCTGGAAGCTCCCCAGGCCCTGGGAGGGCGATGAATGGTGTCCTGCTGTTCACTGATTTCTGGAAGCCATAGCTCCTGGGGGAGGCCAAGGCAGTAAATTCAGCCCTTAAGTCTTGCCTCTAGCTAACAGGCATCCCTTCCCCCCCTCCCCTGTTACTAAACAGTCCTACATATATATGCTTGTGTTTTGCTTCATTTTTCTCTTAGGCAACAAAATGTATGTTCACCCAGAGTCTCCTAATACTGGTTCCCACTGGATGAGACAGGAGATTTCCTTTGGGAAGTTAAAACTCACCAATAACAAAGGCGCAAATAACAACAACACTCAGGTAGAGTAACAGAGGAAGAGGGGGTATCTTCTGGCTGGGGCCTCTTTTCTAAGGAGAGGCCATAATCTTCACTGTGGTTAATTAAATATTTACAGCTGTGACTGTTGCTTGCTTTTTTAAAAAAAAAATTATTTACCTTTTATTTTCATTTTCTTACTGATTTTCAATAATAGGGAGTTGACTATTAGGCACAGAAATATCAAAATCTTGGGAGGAACTTAGGGAACCAGGAAGAATGTTTATCAAATACACATCTGTGGGATTTTGCTTTTATTTTTTGTTTGTTTTTCTTTATGTTTGAGACAGGGCCTCTAGTAGCCCAGGCTGGCTTTGAACTCCTGTTTCTCCTACCTCTGCCTCTCAAGTACTGGGATTATAGTTGTGTGCCACCATGCCAGGCTCATAGTTATGTTTTTAAGTTTCAAAAGTTATGATGCTAAGAATCCTAAAAATGACAATAAAAGAGCAAGCTGTTTGTGGTGTGGAGCAAACAGAAATCCCATCCCCAAATACATAATTTGTTAAAATTTACTTTTTAGTCTTTAAAGAGACTTTAAAATTTGGCAACTATTCATTTCTGTTCCATTTCCAGATGATAGTCCTTCAGTCTTTGCACAAATACCAACCACGACTGCACATTGTTGAAGTTACAGAGGATGGAGTAGAGGACTTAAACGAGCCTTCTAAGACCCAGACCTTTACCTTCTCAGAAACACAGTTCATCGCAGTGACGGCCTACCAAAACACTGATGTGAGTGTTCCATGCCTGGCAAGAGTCTCTATAGCTAGGTCTAGCAGGATAGTGTACTCAACTACTATTCTTCTTGCTTATCTAGATTACTCAACTAAAGATTGATCACAACCCCTTTGCAAAAGGCTTCCGGGACAACTATGATTCGTAAGTACTGTTGCTGTGCATGATCATCTCTTTTCAAGTCTCATTTCCCAGGCTCCAACTGGCCTCGTACCTGAAATGACCTTGAACTTCTGATCCTCTGGCCTTCACCATCTCTCCCCTAGTTCTGAGATTACAGGCATGCCTTACCACACCTGGTTTTATTGGTGCTGGGAATCGAACCTAGGGCTTTGTGCATGCCAGACAAGCACTCTACCAATTGAGTTTCAGCTCCAAACTCCCTTGTCTTGGTCATCTTTGAACAGGACACAAATCTTCATTTTGCTGAATATATGTTCTAGTGTGAGCTTTCACATTTGGGGTTTGTACCTATTTTTATTTTCGTTTTTTTCTCAGATATACACACATAACCACGTGTTGGGGATTGAATCTGGGCCTTGTGCATTCAAGGCAAGCACTCTACCACTGAGTTATGTCTTCAGCCCTATTTTTTACATTATTTTGCCTTAACTAATCTTGCTTTAGAATTTTACAGCAGGTTTTGTTCAAAGCTTATACATGAAGTGTCTTTTTATCTACATTTGAATAGAGATTTGGAATTTTTCGAATCTGCATTATTTGTTTGTGCATTTTTCATTTGATCCAACTTTCAAAAAATGATTTGTTTTTATTTTTAAATTATCTATATGGTATATACATGTGAATGCCAGTGCCCTCAGAGGCCAGAGGCCTCAGACCCCCTGGAGCTGGCATTATAGGCTATTGTGAGCTGCTAGAGTTGGATGCTAGGAACCAAGCTTGGGTTCTCTGCAAGAACAATACAGTTCTTAACTGATGAGCAATCTTGAAATTCAACATTTTTTTTTAACATTTTCTTTATTATTTTTACTTTTTCTGTATGAGTGTATTGCCTACACGTATGTAAGTGCACCCATGTCATTGCAGTGCCTGTGGAGGTCAGAAGAGGGTGTTGGTTCCCCTGGAACTAGAGTTACAAATGGTTGTTAGCTACTATGTGGGTACTGGGATTTGAACCCAGGTCACCTGCAAGAGCAGCCAGTGGTCTTAACTGATGAGCCATTTCTTCAGTCCCTACATCCAACATTTTCTTATTCTCATAACAGATATTTTAACTCCTTCCCTTTTTTTCACATAAGGAAAACCTTATAGCTAACAGGATGTATTTTTCAGATCATTGATTAGTAAGGCCCAAGGCCCAAGGCCTTAAAATATGAGCTGCTGAGTCCCGTATTCAGTGTTCTGTACATTACATTGAAAAGGGATGGTCGCTTAGCCCTTTGTGTTGGAAGACAAAAGGACAGTTTCCTTTTGTTTGTTTGTTTGTTTGTTAATTTATTTAGAGACAGGGTCTCATATATCCCAGATTGGCTTCAAACTTATGTAGCCAAGGATGACCTTGAATTTCTGATCTCCTATCCCCACTTTCCAAGTGCTAGAATTCTTGATCTCTGCCACTCCCGGTTTATGTGGCACTGGTGACTGAACCCAGGCCTTTGTTCATACTAGACAAACAACTCTACCAACTGAGCTACATCCCTAGCACCTGATTTCCTATAGTTTAAATACCTAATGCCTAGGAGGATACTTTTCTTTAAAGACTAGAAGATGTGGGATGGGTCAGTGGTTAAAAGTAGTGCTTCTGCAGAAGACCCAGGTTTGGTTTCTCAGCACCCACTTGGTGACTAGTGACAGTCTGTAACTCTAGTTCCAAGGGATCCAACGCCCTCTTCTGGCCTCTGCAGTCATTACATGATATGGGTGTACTTACATACATGCAGGCAAAACCCTATACTCATAAAATAAAATAAATAAATTTTAAAAATTTAAAAAGAAAAAGAAGAATTTTCCACTCTCACTCTGTTAGGCTTGAACATACCAGCCTTCTCAGCTCACACAGCTGACACAAGGCTCTTTGATTTCTGGGAGGTGGTTTTCTGGGGGACAACATGAGGGTTTTTTTTTTAAGTGTTTCTCTTTATATTGTAGCATGTACACCGCTTCAGAAAATGACAGGTTAACTCCATCTCCCACGGATTCTCCTAGATCCCATCAGATTGTCCCTGGAGGTCGGTACGGCGTTCAAAACTTCTTCCCGGAGCCTTTTGTCAACACTTTACCTCAAGCCCGATATTATAATGGTGAGAGAACCGTGCCACAGACCAACGGCCTCCTTTCACCCCAACAGAGCGAAGAGGTGACCAACCCTCCCCAGCGGTGGCTTGTCACGCCTGTCCAGCAACCTGGGACCAACAAACTAGACATCGGTTCCTATGAATCTGAATATACTTCCAGTACCTTGCTCCCATATGGTATTAAGTCCTTACCCCTCCAGACATCCCATGCTCTGGGATATTATCCTGACCCAACCTTCCCTGCAATGGCAGGGTGGGGAGGCCGAGGTTCTTATCAGAGGAAGATGGCCGCCGGACTACCATGGACATCCAGAATGAGCCCTCCCGTGTTCCCAGAAGACCAGCTCTCCAAGGAAAAAGTCAAAGAAGAAATTAGCTCTTCCTGGATAGAAACTCCCCCTTCCATCAAGTCTTTAGATTCCAATGATTCCGGGGTGTACACCAGTGCTTGTAAGAGAAAACGCCTGTCTCCCAGCACCTCCAGCAATGAAAATTCTCCCTCCATAAAGTGTGAGGACATTAATGCTGAAGAGTACAGTAAAGACACCTCAAAAGGCATGGGGGGCTATTATGCTTTTTACACAACCCCCTAAAGAGTTATTTTAACCTCATAAAAATTAGCTAACGTTTTCCAGATGAACCTGGTGGTGTATTTTTTTGTTGTTGTTTTCTTTGCCTAGGTGGCCAAAAAGACATTTACCTTTCACCTTTGATGTATCCTGTTTCGTGCAATTCTCTAAAAGAAGGTGCCAAAGCGTTCGATTGCTGCAGGTAACTGAAGCAACCTAGCATTTTTTTTTTCCTTTGTAAAATAAATGAAGGACTTGAGAAAGTGTTTTAAAATTCAAAGGTTGTTTAAGGTGCTGGATTTATTTATGGGAAACAAGAAACATTCAGAGAAAGCAAGCAGGCTGTGAATGCCTGGTGCTATCCAATGAGTTAAAAAACAAAACAAAACAAAAACCTTTGGTTTTCATTTCTTGTAAATCTTTTAGCAAACAGGAGCCCAGAGTGTTAAGGTATTTTTGATTCAGGAAGAGGACTAGGCCTTAAGTTTCAACAATGGACTTTCTTGCTCTTATCTTCAGCTAGGGGCTAGAGGCTAGGCCTGAGAGTCAAGGGAAAACTTCTGTGAAAGTGTCTAGTCTTACCTGCATTTGATTCCTTCCAGGCTTTTGGAATAAACTATGCTTGTCCAAGAGATGGCCATGTTTACTGGGATGTTATGAACCAGCAGAGGAGCAGGGAGGAAGAATTTAAGTGTACAGTTGTGTGCTTAGACACTGTAGAATAATCTGAAATAGATTGTACAAATTCAGCTGCATAGGTATCTGAGATCATGTAAAACTGGTACTTTGGCTTTGTAAAGAACTTGCAGATCAGCCATCATAACTGCAGGGTTAAGAGGCGCGCTCTATCAGCTCTGATATTGGGGGGGTATTCTGTTTACTTCTTAGTTATTTGGCTGCCTCTGTACTCACTTGAACCATGCTTAAGGAAAACCCATTTCCTCCTCTTCCTTGGCCAGCCCCACTTCCAACTTCAGCTATGTGAAGAAATTACAGTCTGAGGCCACAGCTCCTATAGACTATTTAGAGATCTTGGATTTTATGTACAGTCTTAGTCATTTTTAATAAATGTGGTTCAATAAGGTAATGAATATAGCGCTGTCTTCTGTCCTACGGGTTTTAGTCTTTCTTTGCTTTAAAAAAAATCTAAGTTGCTTCCCCCTCTACCCTCTTCCAGACTCTCAACAGTTGCATCTCCAAGCCCCCCACCCCCCCAACCCCAGAAGGCACTGGAATCTGAGACTGTGGTCCTGAGGGAAGTAGGGAGGGGATATTTTTGTTTACCCCCGCCCCCCTTGAAGATGAATGGGACCTACTTCCTCCTCCCACTGGGAAGTGTGGACAATGGGTGTTGGCTGGGGGTGAGCTGGGGAAGGAGTGTTTGCCCTGGAGATGCAAGATTGCACGCTGCTGGTTTAATCCGAGTTTCCAAGCCTCCGCCCCTGGCCCTTAGTACTTTAGTTCCCTCAGCCTTTTCCTGGGTTTGCTTGAGGCTACCAGTTCCTGAACCCACGTAGGCTCCCTGGGAAACCCCGCGGCCTTCTGAGTGCCTAGGACGTCCAGGCCGCAGAATCCCTGCAGGGGCGTAAAGGTCATGCACCTTAAGGTTTTTGCTCCCACCAGCGGCTTTTTCGACGTGATATAGCTACTGACCTGGGTACTTTGCCCTCAGCCAAATTTCTCCCTGGATGCTAAGGGTTGGGTGCAGGCTGGGGGTGGAAGCGTCAGTTGCAAAGGAATATCCAGTTGTCCAGTGCAAACAGCATCTGGACAGAGGTGCGTCTCACTCTTAGCTCGGCTTCCATCCTCTAGAAGCCCGAAGGGTTCCCCATCGCCTGGCTGAACCCTAGGTGTGAGGAAGACAGGAGTGGAGGGCCCTTTGTGGTGCCCCACCCCCGCCCCCCACCCCACCAGAAGTCCCGCCAGGCTTATCAGCAGAACGCTTAAAGCCCAGCTTGCAACCCTTGAGCCCCCTTCTCCCCCTGGGGTAAAGGTCTGGCTGGGAGGGTCATTCCTACTGCGGAGCGCGGAAATGCAGCTGCTAAGAGGATTAGCTGCGGGGAGCCTAGCAATCAGCCTGGCCCTCCTCCCCTTCTGCGCCCAATTAAGGCGGCCCGGAGACGTACCTGAACTGTGGTCAGTCTCCCACCCGCTACAAACATGTGGAGCCAGAGTCCTTCCTGCGCCACCACTGAACTTGGGAGCCTCTGGCTGCGCATTTCCAAGGGTGCCCGCTCAAAACTTTTGGGCAATGCCACCCCGAATTTTACCCGAGTGCTGGGGTGAGCTTTTTGATTTGCTCTTTAGTATATATTTGCGTGGATGAGATTAGGCTCGGAGAGAGAGAAACACTTCGCCTAACCTAGTCATCATCAACCCCCCGACCTTTCAACACCGTCGTCCAACCTCTGGGTTATCAGGAATGTCAAAACTATGCTCTGCAGGTCCTGTCCTCTAGAAAACCCGAAAATGCTGATCACACGGCGGGATAAAGAGGATTCTGGCCCTAGTCTATTTCAAGTCCTGTATATTTTTGCACCGTACAGTAAAAAGAACCTAGTACTTGTGAAAAAGTCCCTCACAGTGTTTAATAGAAACGTAAATGGCTGAGTGGCCCCAATTAACACCTTGTGATAAGACATTCCTAAGACGGAGTGTCAGACACCAAATTGTGAAGAGATGTATCTAATTAATCCACCTAGGATGACACCGATAAATAAGCCTCCATTTAAATAAAGATCAAGGGCTCGGCGCCCGGCTTGTTTACATTCCCCACCAGGACCCGTGCGCGTTTGTTGGGGTGCGGGATGCTCCCCGCGCCGGACTGAGACACCGGCCTGGGGGATCTGCTGGCTGGTCCTCGCTTCTCCTAGGCTCTTGCGACCAATAAAAAAAACACCTATTGAAACAGATAAACCGCAAAGAAAGAGGAAAAGACACACACACACACACACACACACACACACACACACCAAATAAAAACAATTCGTAGTTGGAAATATGTCTTCATTGCCAAATGGTTCTGGTTGTTTGAGGTAAAAAGAAAAGGTATTAAAAAACAATCACATAATCCCCGAATTAATTAGTTAATTAATTTGCTTTGGGGAGAATTTGGTGCAGGACTTTCCTGCGATCCACACGCGTTAGCGCTGGTTCCTTCTCGATGGTTCCAGGATTTCTCCACCTTGGTGTCAAAGCCAAGGATTGCTGGGTTGGAAGGAAGCTGTTCTTGGAGTGGTAGGGAGTCTCGGTGCCTGGAAGGAAACTAGGGAAGGCGGGAAGAATCAGAAAAGAATTCCTGGCCGGAGGGGAAGCTGCTTGTTAGTTCCCCAGAGTCTTCATCCTTGTTGGAGCTGCGGTGGGAGAAATTTCTGCAGTAATTTATGTCCCAACAATTCAGCTCTCAAGACTCCAAGTTTGTTGTTAGCCCATTTTCCCTTCTTTCTGGACGCCTTTGATTAAATTTTAAAACTCGAATAAGGGTAGGCTCGCGGTCGTTTCCCTCCTCTGCAGTCTCTTAGATCTTTCTCAAACAGGGGGAAGAGGAGAGACGCATTCGTAGTTATTTTTTTTTTTTAAAGAAAAGAAAAAAGTCCCTGCAGGTGTAATGGAGATGCTGGTGAACAGAAAATTCCCGCATCTCCAGACTTCTATCCACATTCGGCCCCCAGTAGGTACAATTCAGATCTTTCCTTTCAGATCTGCCCTCTAGGACGCTGCCTCGGCTCCCCTTCCGGGATGGTACCACCTACTCCTCCGCCCCGCTGCACTCAGAGTCCAAGAACTTAGCTGTCAGCCCGTGGAGATTTCTAAATTATCAGGATAGTTTTTAAAACGAAGTTTAAAAAAAAAAAAAAAAGTCTTGCCAAACCCAAGGGAACCCCACCCGCCTCTCGGTCCCCTCTTGTCTAAATTTTCAAATATGCTAAGTAACCTTTCCACCTGCACGGGTCTTTGCCGGTTGTCAGATTTCTTCCCCTCCTGGGGAAGAGGCCTCCGCTCAGCGCGCAAGCGCTCCGGGGCTTGCACGCTTCCCGCCTGAACGACCTGGTCCAACCTAGGTCCAGGAGCCAAGCAATTAAAGGCCCGCAAGTCTGACTTGAAAGACGCCTTTTCTTCATTCTGTTTTCTTTTTCCTCCTTTTCATTTTTTCTTTAGCCTTCTTTCTTCGTTCTTTTATTTTGGGGTTTTGAGTTTTAAAAATGCGTTTTTATTAATTCTTTGAGAAATTCATACAGTGTGTTTCGATCGTATTTACCGCCCACTCCTCCTCTTAACTTGCTGTGTAACTGAGAATGACCTTGATCTCTCTCTCTCTCTCTCTCTCTCTCTCTCTCTCTCTCTTTCTCTTTCTATTTATTTGGTTACAAGCCAGGTGTGGGAGTACACA